CAGGAATCCCAGGATGAAATAAACCAAAGGGAAAACGAACGCCAGCACAGGACATGGAAAGGTGACTGAGCTACTTCAGGGTTTAAAGGAAGCAGAAATCCTATTGCTTTGGATTTCACATGGGAATTAAGGATAGAGTAGAAAAATTACGCCCTCAGCATTCCCAGTCCTTGGAAAGGACAATCTCCCAGGCTGCTTTTCCCTTTTTTCCCCAGGAGAGCAATGGAAGAGGCTGCTCTGGCCGTGCTCTGAGTACCCGGCTGCCGTCTTCAGGCGCTGCCTTCCCCCGCAACTGTCCAGAGCTCCATCCCGCCCCGTCTGGCACAGCCCAGAGGCCGCTGAAAGCCTCCAGGCTGCTCAGGAGAAGCAGCCGTGACTCTTTCCACCAGATCTGCGCCCAAAAGGCTTTGCCAAGGGCCACTGCAGGTTGTTCCCGGATCCTCCTTCGCAGGACACAGGCTGGGACTGGAAAACGAGCCAGGGAAGGCGGGATCTGTGAGGGAGTGTTTGCCCCAGGGATGGGGCATCCACAGCTTCTCTGGGCAACCTGTCTCAGTGTCCCCACCCTCTCCAGGAAGAATTCCTTCCTGATGTCCCATCTCAATCTCCCACTTTAAATTTAAACCCGTTACCCCTTGTCCTGTCACTACAGGCCCTTGGAAAAAGTCCCCTCCAGCTTTCCTGTAGCCCCTTCAGGCACTGGAAGGTGCTATAGGGTCTCCCCGGAGCCTCCTCTTCTCCAGGCTGAACCCCCCAACTCCCCCAGCCTGTCCCCATGGCAGAGGGGCTCCAGCCCTTGGAGCATCCCCGTGGCCTCCCTCCAACAGCTCCCAGTCCTCCTGCTGCCGGGGGTGACAGTATTTACTATTACGCAGCCGGTTCTGTTCACAGCTCCCGACCCCGCTTCGCCGTTCCGTGTCGCCCGAGGGAAGGAGGAGAGTCTGTCACAGGGATCGCCAGCGGCATCACACGTTTAATAAGCGACGGGGGATCCAGACCCCACAGCGGAGCAACGTTCGCATGACGCGGGAAGTGAAAGCGCTACCTCTCTCGCTAGTGATTTAACCTACAGTTAAACAGCATATTTAGAGGTCACTTCCAAAACGCCTTAAATCATCTGAAGTTTGCATTCCCTTGCTTTAAAAAAAATTACATGTTAATTACTCTGGAAAGTTTCTGAACTCTGTTTAGCAGCAAATCTCCTTTCTTGATGGTTTCTTGGTACTGCCAATTCTTGCTGTCAGGCCTAGGAATTGGGGAGGAAAATAAAAAAGGTTTAGAAGCGCGGATGTTTTACCCCGAGGCGCTCGCTTGTCCGCGACGGGTCACCGCGACAACCGTCGGCGTACCTGTTCGTCTCTACGATCTCGTTGACTTTGTCTATTTTGCAGTGTAATCGCCCGGCTGCGATAAATCTTGAAAGCTCCCTAAAAAAAAAAAAAAAAAGACAACCAAGCAGTTGGTTAAATCAGCTTTCACCAAGGACCGGCAGACGCAGCAGATCCGAAGCCGCTTTGACCGCACGGCGGTGTCGCCGGGAGCCGGCGTACTCCCACCCGGGCTCTTCTGCAGCGGCAGCTCCCTGGCACTACACCCCAGAGCCATTGCTCTGGCACTGGGGCTGCGAGGCGTCGTGGTGTCCCCGGCGCAGGGCGCAGTCGGACCTGAGTCGGAAAAGCCGTCGCGTCTCCCCCCACCAACTACTCCTCCGACCCACCGGCAGCAGTCGTGCCGCCTGCCCGCTCGGGATTCATCCTGATGCCAGTCAGTTCCTTAGGAAAGTCTCATTAAGAGCGGGGCTTTTTTAATTACTGCTGTTATTAATTGCCATTTTGCTTCATCAACTGGTGGTCCACAGCACGTTACTGACAGCAGAAGAAAATATTCCTGTGACCGACAGCGAGACGAGCTACAACCGGCACCAAATTGCCGGGAGGCGTAAGAACTTCAACACCTTCGGATCGAATGGTATTTGGTTCTCTTGAAACACCTATTCACCGATTTCGGCGTATTTCAAGCAGTATTTGTATTTCTGTGACACATCAGAAACTCTGAAACCTCTCAAGGAAAGGAGGGCTCCTGTGAGGGCACCTGAAATCGAGCGTTTCCTCTCCGTGGGGAAGCCCATTCCTCACCCTGATCCAAACCTCGTGGCTTTACACCAGAAAAGACCTCGCAACGGGATTGTTGTAAAGAGTTAAAAGGTACGAAGCGAGATCTCCACGATCCTCAGAAGCCGAGCAACTTACTGATCGATGAATTCCACGCTGACTCCAAACGCTTCCGCCATGTATCCCAGCGTCAGGGAGCGGTAAGACTCCAGGAGCTGGCTGTACGCGTGAATTCGCATTTCCCGTACGTAGTACCGATAGTGAGGTGCAAACAGCCAATCCTTTTTCATCTCTTGCTCCACAACAGCTGAAAAGGAAGACAAAGACAGACGAGGCGGAGTCAGTAACGGCTGCGAGACGTAACCTGTCGGCTCTGCCCATCAGCCACGCACCGCCGGTTAGCGAGGGTGACCGCAGCGCGCCGTAAGCCGGCGTACCTCGGGCTGTGAACGGTACTCTGCGCCCAAGGGAGGGGAAATCGTGGCCTTTTAGCTAATAGTCCCTATCGGCTCTAAGCCAGAGGCACTAACAACCTGGGAACAAGACTGCGGGGCAGAGCTGGCGCCCGTCTGTCAGCAGAGGAGGCTCCTTCCCGGGGGTGAGCCCGTCTCCGCGCCACTGTGGGGAGCAGCTGTCGCAGCGGAGCAACGCCGGGTGGGAAACCAGCAGGACTTGCCATGGAACTACCCGAAGAAACACTGTTACTTCCTCACCCGGCTTTGGGTAAGATTAACTTTCTGCCAGCAGCTCTTAGGTGAGTTACAAGGATTTCTGGGTACCACACCGACCTTTTCTCCTGACGGTTTTAGCGATAAGGTCAGCAGGGGGAAAACGCTGCCCTTAATCTCAGTAGGCCCAGTCTTCCACAAAACAAAGGCTTCTTTTCTTGCCTTTTCTAAATACCTTAACTATCTTGCGCTCCAAGTCTCCCGGAAGGAAGACAAGCAGTCTGAGAACTGTCAAGAACGAGGGTTTCCGGAAAAGCTTTTCTTCAGCGTCACCCCTTTAGACAGGAAGCCCCAACTTTCCACGCCATACCTTCTGCAGGTGAAGGGTGAGAACTGCCAAGAACGAGGGTTTCCGAAAAAGCTTTTCTTTAGCGTCACCCCTTTAGACAGGAAGCAGAGCAGGAAGCCCCAACTTTGCACGCCATACCTTCTGCAGGTGAAGGTTTCGGGGCCTTTAAACTGCTCTCAAAGATAAAAACCCCTTCAGAGCTTCCCTGTCTGCCCTGCCTCTTCAGGTAAGGCAGCGCTCCGCAGCCGTCTGAAAACGCTTTTCCGCCTCATCAGGGGGGACCTTTCAAAAAGCTCGTGGTGCGCAGAGGTTTGGGTGGGTTTTTGAAAGAAAAAAGTCAAACAGCAGCAAAGTTTAGGTCACGGTTAGAAACCTAAATCTTTCCCCTCGCCCCTGCAGGAAGTAGCTCCAGTTCTAGGCTGCAGTTGCTCCGCAACAGCGGCGCACGATCCGCAATAACCGAAGCACCTGGGAGAGGGGTGTGGGAGAAGCACGGCCTTACCGAGCGACTGGAAAAAGGCTGCGTAACGGCACTCGTAAAGCGAGAAGAGATACTGTCGTACAGCTGGCAAACTGTGTAACACCTCCAGAATCTCCGCTCCTTTAATAACCTGCAAGCAAGCAGACATCAGTACCGCCGCCTGCAGCCCGGGGAGGTTATGGAAAGGCCGAGCCTGCCGGAACCGGTGCTTTCACCCGCTCTCCTTACCTTTTCCCGCAGGTCAGGCCTGTCTAAGGCAATCATGCTGACGTAGACCGTGTAGGTGACAAACGTCTTGTAATCCATTAGTTCGTAGGATGTAAATGTCGAAACTGTATCCAGGAAGAGCTCTGCTGCTTGTTTGAAATCTCGAATGGCTACACAGTAAAGGCCCTGGTACACCTTGAGACGGTTTCTCCTGTCCCAGTCGCCTCCTTCTTCGATCAGACTTAGAACAAAACGAGATAGCGACTTATGGAAACGTTACGTGAGAAGCGACACGAAACAACCTCGGCTGTGGTGATGAACTACGCTGCTAAAATCAGAGCCAGCCGACTAGCAGCATAGAAAAAAATTGAAATTTGCCACTTATCAAGAATCTCATGACCCCAGAATTGATGTGGCTGTGAGCAGGAGCACAGGCTGAGCCAAAACCTGCTGAGAAGGCATCGCAAAAAACTGTTGCCCAAGGAACACAGTAACTGGGAGGACTCTTGATATCCCACTGCACCAGCAAAGAGACCGGAAATGGCAACTTGCCACAGGAACCGCTGAAATTCAAACTGCTGGGAGCACGGAGACACCGAAGCTGGCAGTGGAAATGAGGGAAGGAGAGCTGCACCACAGCCGTGCTGACACCGGGCTCTTCCTTCTGAAGGAAAAGCTGGCGTGTCGCAGAGCCAGGGTGGCACTGGCAGCACCTGGATTCAGCTGGGAATCGTACGATCTAATCACACCCAAAGAGACTTGTCTTCCAACAGCTACAGAACAGAAAAGTGGGAGCGGGGGTGGGCTACAGATCACATCAGCTGCTAGAAAACAGCTGACACAAAATATTAACCTTTCTTTTCTCTTCCCCCTCATGAAAAAATCCAGGACCAGGAAGCTCTGTAGTACAGGGCAGCACCCAGCCAGAACTCTGGGGTTCTGTCTCACCACCAGCCTTAGTCATTTCTTGACAGCCAAGGTATTTATCTTCCTTTTCATAGAATCATAGGACGGTTTGGGTGGGAAGGGACCTTAAGGATCATCTAGTTCCAACCCCCCTGTCATGGGCAGGGACACCCTCCACTGCTTTAGTGCCCTCAAAAAACCCCAGCGGTACCTTTTTGCCTTTTCAATGTTCCGCGTGATGAGGTCGTTATCCATATAAAACAAGCCAATCCTCAGAAGATAGAACACGATATCCAGACGATGTCCCAGCGCCACGGTTTTGTCGTATGTCTTGCGGAACGCAGTCAGGGCTCCCTCCTAGCAAGACAGTATTTCTTACTGTAAGAGTGTTAAAAGCACCTAGAATATTTACAAAATACCCTAAGTACTCGCAGCATCTTCCACGGACAGTCGTGATTTATTCCCCACAGACCTTTAACATCAGGCATTCTGAATAATCTTAAAGAATCCAAGTTTAAGCCAAGTTTAAAGAGCCGATCCTCATGTATCTTTAAAATCTAAGGACACTGGAAAATCCACTCTGTCACTTGAAATTAAGTTGCACTATGTAAGTAGCTTAGAAGAGGCTAAAGACACAAGGAAAGTGAAAAACTAACACTGAAAAATGTTTTCCTTTATGGCCTACTTGTTTGGTTTTTTTTTCCCCTAGATAATTTAAGGTTCAGCAACACCTTCCCCTACCTCCCACCCACATCTGAGCTGTGCCATAGAGAAAACACACTGCAAGTCACGCAGCTTCCTCCCTGGGAGCAGCGCTCACTGGAACCTGCCTAGCTAAGGGGATTACGATGCAGTGTTTTTAATATGAGTCCATAAAGCCTCCCTCCCACCTGCAACACACTGCAACACACTGCAAGTCACGCAGCTTCCTCCCTGGGAGCAGCGCTCACTGGAACCTGCCTAGCTAAGGGGATTACGATGCAATGTTTTTAATATGAGTCCATAAAGCCTCTGCCGTCAACTAACCTTGTCCCCAATCCTGCACAGGTACTCCGCTTTGGCCATCATGGCATCTCGGATTTCGCTCTCCCCCAAGATCTTTTCCGCATCTTCTAATTCGTTGTCGAGGCGTTTCAGTTCTTCCTCGTTAGCTTTCTTCATTTTGTTCAACAGATCCGTGTCTATCTGCCACTCAAGAGACTTGCAGAGTGCTTCATAATACGGAGCCATGTCTGGAAGAACAGCAGGAAGGTTTCTGCTCTTAACTGCCGCAAGAAGCGTGCGCGTGTCCCTAGAGCAGCGCACAGGAGGCCAGTACAACCGATCCTCGGTGCCAGGCAAGTCCTTTCGACAGTCAGGTACCTATCCAACCCAGACATTACAGAGCCAGTGGCTCACGCCTTGCCCATCACACCTTTTTCTGCTGATTCTTTACTACCACTGCTCTGTAGACCTCTCCCACACGCACTTTTCTTACTATTTATCTGACCCTGAGCGCGGTGGACCCCAGTGTTCGACCTGTGCCTTTTAAAACACCAGCAAGCTGGAACAGTGACCAAAGCTGGGGACATGGCACCCGGCTGGTGTGACAAACCCCCATTCCTCCTCGCCTCCCCGCTCCACTCGCCCTGTCCCTGCCCCAGCGACGGGCTGAGGTAAATGAACAGAGACAGGCCGGCTCCTCGTCCGCACACACCACGCCCCTGGGCAGACAGACGTCCCCGGGGAGAGGGCGAGGCTCCCCTGCACCCCGCAGCAGGCCGCACTCACTGTGGAGCCGCA